ACCTGAATCACTGTGCTGTACACCAGAAACTAACACATTTTACTGATTTACTAATCAGCTATACTCAAGTTTTTTTAAAAAGGTGCAAAGAGAGGAAATAAGGTGTGAAAAGGTATCATCAAATATTAAAATTGGTACATATTAAATTTTTATAGATTTTTAACTTTGACCCTTACAATAACCCTGTGAGATTGGTAATATAAATAGCAATTGATCAACTCTAAGCTAGAACACAGATGAGTCTTTTTGAATCTTCTTTACTCCATCTTTATGTTAAGACAGATGATGACTGGATATACCCCCTCCCTTAAAATGGGACCACGCGTGGTGTGATCCCTAAATCTCTTGTAGTATTGGAAGTCTGGTGGCCTTGGCAGAATTGGAGTGACTTCCCAGACATCTGCCTTGCAGGTTTCTCCTGACACTCCCACTGAACTCTCCACGTCCCCAACGCTCACCTCGTCCACTGTTCTGTCTTCTGCCCTGCATCAACCCAGACACGGAACACAGTGCTCTTGGTTTGTCCAAAACCACTCACAAAAGGCATCTGTGTGTGTAACAGTTGTTACTAAAGTTTGGGGACCCAAATGCTTTTTATTTTTTATCGTGGTAAAATACTGTCTTCATCAGGAGGAACACAAGCCATAGGACATATGTAGATATATAGAACGAGGGTTATTATGAGGGATTGGCTCACCCAACTACGAGGCTGGGAAGTCCCACCACCTGCTCTCTGCAGGCTGAGGGCCCAGGAAAGCCAGGGCTGTGGTTCCAGCCCAAGCCTGAAGGCCTGAGAACTAGTGGGCCCAGGGGTCTAAGTCCTGGTCCAAAGGCCCAAGAACCAGAAGCGCTGATGTCCGAGTGCAAGGGAAGGTGAATATCCCAGCTGAGGCACAGAGAACGAGTTTACCCTTCCTCCCACTTTGGGAACTTTTTCTTCTCAATAGATTGGATGATGCCTACAGGCTTTGGTGAGGGTTGATCTCTTAACTCAGGCTACCCACTCAAATGCTAATCTTTTCCAGAATCACCCTCACATACACACCCAGAAATAATGTTTTATGGGTTATCTGGGCATCCTTTGCCCAGTCAAGCTGAAACATAAAACTAATCATCAGAAGTCCACAAAACATACAATTTTCCGTTGTAACCACTTGAAAGTGTACGATTCGGCGGCATTAAGTGTGTCCACAATGTCGTACAACAGTCACTACCATCCAACGGATTTACATCACGGAGGTCTAAGCTGATGTACAGTGATATCAGATATCCCTGTCTTACAAGACATCTGGCCACCCACCAGGCCATGTAAGATCTCCATAAACCCAAAGACTTCTCTCCCTGCCTTTCTTTTTCTCCGGCCTTTTCTCCCAAACAGTTTTGCCTTCAATCTGTCCAGTTCCAACTCTATCTGACTATATCAAATAACTCATGAATGTGCTCTACCGAAATAGAAGGTCATTCATTCCTTGTTTCCCCCCTTAGGAGAACAGAATCTCACAAAAGCACCGATGCTTCAGACCCCTTTTCTGCTTACCAGGTCTCAGTAAGTGCAAAGAAGCTGGGATGAGATTGATTTCCTTGTGGCTATGAAGCGTGCCCTTTCCCTCAGAAGGAAGAAATAGGAATCATCAGTTCAGGCTTAAGATCAAAAATTGTTGCTGTCAACTTTTACAATGTAAAAACTGGAATGCCTTCTGTGAACCGTGGAGCATGGAGTGAAACCAAGCCGGGTCTTCATCACCAGTTCAGACTGATCTAATGGATCCATTGATAAAGGTTGATCCAAGGCCATCCTTGGCATAAGCCTGAGCTCAGAGTTCTTAATGTGAAGACTTTCAAACTATCCCAACCCCTCCAAGATAGGTTGGTAACCCTTCTCTCTGATCTTTGAACATGCAGTATTTTGCTCTGTCACAGGGCAGAGAAAATTAAACTAGAAACTAAAATAAAGTGGGGTGGCTTCCCTATTGGAATTTGAGCTTCTGAGATCGAGGGACTACGCTAATTCCATCTTAAATGGTGGTTCTCAACTGGGGACAGTCCCTGTACCCAGGGGACATTTGGCAATGTCTGGAGATGTTTGGGGGTTGTCATAACTGGGTTAGGAATTGCTAAATAATTGCATTTATTGTGCAGAGGCCAAGATGTTGCTAAACAGCCCACACTGCACAGAATGGAACACCCCAGACAGAATTATCCCATCCAAATGTCAATAGTGCCAAAGTTGAGAAATCTTGATCTTAAAAGTTGTTCATTTAGCAAATATTTATTAAGCACTATCTATGTGTCACACTTTGTGCTAAGAGTTGGAAAACTTGTGCCTGTTTCCTTACCATGACTATTTTTGTGATAATAATAGTAAACACCCAGTGTGCATTAAAAGGTGTAGGGTCCTATGTTAACTCTTCACATATCTAACATTTCCTCCTGTTATCTTACCAATAGCTCTGTAATGGCATCATCTCAAATGATAGAGTGGAAGCCCAGAGAGGTTAAGTAACTTTCCTAAGGCAACATAGCATCTGGCTTAGGTCTCCTGATTTGTAACAATCAAAATAATTGCCCACCACCTAAAAAGCAATTAGGAATCAGAGTATATACCTCGAAAAACTGTTACAAAGGTTATTTATGTTACCTCATTTTTTTATATGTAATGACTCGACAGATATAGCAGGCTTTCAGGACAGAATCTTGAGAATGACTTTTGCTATGGTGAGTGGTTTGAAAGATGTTAGACTGTCACTTGAGGTAAGAGGACAGGAAGTCTAAAAAGGGACTATGATTGCAGGGGACCTTGAATGCCAAATTATTCCCCAGGAATGATGGATTTTTTAAAGCTTAAAATTAGAATTTTTATTTTATCTTGAAGCCTACATTGAGGAAATTAGATAACCCTCTGCACTATTTTCTGCATTGAAAGTAATAATATAATGATCATTTTGGTTTTCTACATGCCCATGCACATTTTGGCTACTTAGCATAATTTTTAAAAAAAATGTGACTATGCAAGTAAATAATTTCTCAGATTACTCTAACACATGCAGTTCTATCACCCATATTCTAATTATTTTTATATTTTTAAAATTCTAGAATATATAGAATAATAGAAAACAATAATGTATCCATATGTTTAGTATTATAACCACCTGGATGATAAATTTTTGATGAAGACCCTCTACAGGAGAACGTGCATGTGTGTGTGTGTGTTTGTGTGTGTGTGTGTTGGGGAGGGGAGATCAATGTATGGCAGAAAACAGAGCGAGAATCCTGGTAAATGATACTGATGATGAGAGCCTGGACCAACTGACAAAAGAAACAGCTCCATTTCTCAGTATCTCAATCTGTCCCCCTTTCAGTAAATATTTCTATTTCCTCACCCAGAGGAAGAATATACTGTGTCCTCTGGTTTTACCACGATCCTCCGAGAAGGAATAAATGGGGAAATGTTTGAAAGAAGAAATGGGGAAGAGCCAGGAAGTCTGGGAAACCCACTGGTCCACGATGTGGGTCTGACCCCAAGGGCAGGAGAAAGGGAAGGATGGTTGAGGGGAAGCACCCGAGACTTCTGTGCAATCTGAGGAAGGTTCCAGACGGCCATGGAAGAGGCCTCAAGCCAAAGCCGGCCATCAGAGGCGTCTTGAGTTTCCCAGGAACTGGCTTGCTCCAGTGTCACTGCTGCGCTTGCTCACTGGCTGAACGCAGCCCACCGGCAGTGTGGCCTTGGCACGGATGCGGCGGGGGAACTCAGCGCAAGCAGCTGGGCCCTTGGTCAGTTCCCCTCCCCGTAGCTACATGTCTGTGAGAGGCGGTCTCACGCCCACCGCACTAGGAACTTTTCAGTGTCTAGTGAAACACGCCCAGACTGCCTTGGATTCAACGAGACACGCAGGCACTCAAACACATGCCCTCTGGGCAAACAGTGTGTCACCTGCCTGTCCCCTGAACTGTCCTCGGGCCGCCCATCTGCGGGGCCGGCTTAGAACCAGTGAGCTCACCTGCTTGCAGGCCAAGTTACCCACGCCGCCCATCTCCGAGGACCGTTCTCTCACTCCGCCCCGCCCCGCCCCAGAACGTCCTATTATTCCGTTGTGCTCCACGCTAAACCCTGTACCTCAGCGTCGATTGTCTGGCCCTCCTGTTTCTTTCTGAAGCCACCAGGCCCAGGATAATAAGCTACACACACTGTACTCCTGTGTACACAAGACGTCTCTGAGGTGAGCTCTAAGCGAAGGAGGCGGTCTAAACGTCATTCCTCTCCCGCGGGTCCCGCCCATCCTCCCCAGCGCAGCGCGCTAGTTGTGAAGGGGGAGTCTGAGCCGCTGGACCCTGGCCAGCCATCTGGGAGTCCTTTCGTGGGGACCTGAAATAGTCATCAAGTAGGGCAGCTGGAGGTGAGGGGCTTTTGGGTCCTACCTGCGTGCTCCGTAGGTGGCCGCAGGGCACTTGAGTCAGATCCAAGAGAGGCACCTGGCTCTGAGCTGGCAGGGAGCCAGTATCAGAGGGTAGCTTGCTGTGAATGGCGGTGTCTGGCCTCAGTGCATGCTTTATTGCGGTGTGTCTCTTTAAAACTAATTCCTCAGTGAAAGATGTCTGAAACCCAAGCCTCCCCAACCTCCCTCTCCATTTTATTTTCATTTGCAGGCAACCTGTCCTGTTGAGAGTCACGAGAGTCCTGCTTGGAAGCAAATCCGTGCTGGACATTGAGTCCCTGAGCGATGCCAGGCACAGCTGTTAAAGTGGGGAAGCCTCTCCCAGGCCTAGAAATGACTAAAAGACAGAGCAAACCTGTCCATCTCCCAGAGCATCCAAGGCTGTGTCAAGCGCAGTAAATGTAGAAGGGAGGATTTCTCAAAAAGGTTTGGAACATACTGATGTAAAAACTGTTTTCCCAAAATATACATGGGGCAGTACAATGGCTCTCAAAGCGTGGTCCCCAGACCAGGGGCATCAGCATCAGCAGGAAACCCATTAGCAATGCAAATTTGGAACCACCCACACCTGCCGAATCAGGAACTCTAGGGGTGTGACCCAGCACTCTGTTCTATCAAGATCTGCAGGTGTTCTGATGATCTTCTGGTCATCACTAACGTTTGAGAATCCCTTCTCCAGAGACAGAGATTGCTTTTCACCAATAACTAGAACACAAGACAATTTTAATTCTGCAACAATCATATCATGACAGTGTACTTGTTCAAATATTTGCTGAACTACTATTAAGTTCTGGCCTCTGGGCTTGGCATGAAGAAGTCTAATGGGAAATGAAGAGACATGTCTCTTGTTTTCACAAGCTCATCTTCTGGCCAAGAGAGTTGATATTAATCAAACACACAAATAAATTATTTAAGGTGTTTTGAATAAAATTGACAAACCTGATCCATTACGGAAGATGAAGAAAAGCTTCAGCAAGGAGGTGTTGCTTGTTGAGATATAAAGGAAACATATCCATTATGCTGGTAAGCTTTGGAACGGAGGTGGCCTTTCAGGTGAAGGGAACAGCGCCACATCCAGGCCCTGCATCTGGATGAAGGAATTGACAGAAGATATGGGTGGCCGAAATGCAGAGAACAGAGAATGATGAGGCAGGATGCATAAAAGAGGTTTGGAACCATGTGAAAATGTGGTCTTTGTTACAAGATCCATGGCACCCCTTGAAAAGTTTGAAGACGGGGGTGGGGCACCATGTGCAGATCAGCTTTGGGAGAGGTCATATTCTGGTTGAGGTCTGCAGAATGGACTGGGGAGGGACCAGGGTGGAGGGTACAGTGAGGAAGGCAGTGTAGTTGTCGAGGCCAAAGATGAGGTTGAGAGGCCAGGGTGGTGACAGTGGAAATTTAGAGACGTGGAAGGGATTGAGAGGCATAGGGAGGGTTGACCTTTGGAGGAGAGAGACAAAGGTGTTTAGAATGGGCGCTGTTTCTGGCTTGCACAGCTAGAAGAGTGGGGATACCATTCAATGAGGTGACATCTCTGAAAAGCATTGCATTTGAGACAAGGGGAAGTGAGAGGCAAGACACAAAGAATTAAGCTTTTAAAATGTTGAGTTTGGACTGTCCTTGAGACCTCTGGATATAAGGCCTGGAGCAGAATCTCAGAAAAGATTTGGGTTGCAGATGTCAAAATGGAAAGTGACTCACACATCTGTCTCAGGGTGGAAACACAGAGAGTCTAGAATGAGAAGACAGTAGGTCCCAGGATCCATGCAGGACGGACTCCAGTATGTGTAACTCATGTGTAGCAAGGGCTCATAAAGGTTTGTATAACATGAAAAAGGAAGAGAAGGAGGAGGAAAAAGAGGTAAAAATGAAGAGTAGAGCAGACGGCATTGGGCTAAAATTTGGGTTCTGCCATCTGAACGAGTTCCTTATTCCTTGCAAGCCTCAGTTCCTCCCTCTGTAAAATGGGGACACAGGAGTCCAAATCTCACAGGTGTATTGTGAACATTATGTGATGTTAACATTTCGTACGTGGCCAATGTGCAAAAAAACCTCAGCGATCATTGCCCTGAGCAAGGCGCTGAAAAGGCTCTTCATATTATTTACGGAATTATTGCAGGAGTAAATCAATCCCTTTGCTCGTAGGATTATTTTGCTGAGATCCACTTTGTAGTAATAGAGTGGGGCCAGGGTCGGGGAGGGCAGAGACTGTGTTTGAGTTTTGCATTCCATCCAGTAACCTTGGGCATTCATTCTGAGCCTCTCTCCTCTTTGAAGAAATCAAAAGGGAAAAAAAAAAAAAACCTGAGGCTTGATTTCAACCTAGTTTTTTTTTTTTTTAAAGACAGAGTGGAATATCTTTGTTTCAGTGCTCTTCTCCAAGGCAGTATTACTCTGTCATATGTATATTGTCCTCCTTGCTGGAAAAAAAGTCAAGGATGCTCATAAACTTATACAGATCGACAGAGACAGACTTGATACTTTTGTGAATTTGAAGGAAGATAAAGTGTTAGGGATCATCGTTGTTGTTAATAGGAAACATGACATACATAGAAAAACGAGAATGATAGAAATTTTGGGAACTGAGTCCAACTGTTCGGTGCCAACCTCATAATTTTTCTTTCTTCTTTTCCCCACATATCTGTGTATCACCTGAACTCTTCACTATTTTCAGTTAACTTGATTCACTTTACAATGATTTTATGTACCTTGATTCACTTTACAATGATTCACTTTAAAATGATTTCCTCTAACGTAAATATATTAATAGTTTAAAGCATAAAAATATAAAAAATCTTTTTTTAATTCTGTGTGTCCCCAAGAACCTTCTGGAGTGCCAGTGACAGAATGCATTCCCCACGTTGGAGACTCTGGTAGAATGATGGGGAATGCGGGGCAGAAGACAAAAGAAAGCAAACAATGGCTTCCAGACATGGTGGCTCCAGACCTCTCATCTCCAACATCTTTTTTCAACTTCCCAAGGAATCCCCATAGGGCATGCCTCGGTTGCCTGGGAAACTCTGGTCTACATAACCTGACCACATGTCATCCTGTGACATATGGAAGAGCCTGCCAGCCACACCAAGGATCTGTCACAGACATGTCATCCTAAGTCTGAACACTTCACGTACCACAGGCCCTGAGTTTAAAAGTCAAAGTTACCCATCAGGAAGAGAAGGTGTCACAAAATGAAATGTGAAATGTTCTAAATTCAACAGTGGATTTAGGAACATATAACATTGTGGTCTCATATAGACAGGCAAAAAAATGTAGCAAAGCCCAAATGTTTAGTTTCAAAAAAAGGAAACTTCTAGTCAGTTCTGCTCCAGTGTCTTCTCTGTGGTCCAATTAATCAAATCAGAATGAGTCCAAAACTGGTAGCCACTTGCCAAGCTTGCAAAAAAAAAAAAAAAAAAGCAAAAAAAACAAACAAACAAAAAACAAAAGAAAACCCAGTCTGATTCTGATTATTAAATAAACAACTCCCAAAAAAGGAAGTGTTATGGAAAAAGACAAACATTTTTCCCCCAGAAATTGCAGTGCTTTGAACCCCTCCCACGAGTTAGTGGTAAGAAAGTCTAAACTAGCTAGAAATTGAGGATATATCAAATCATATTTTCTTCCAAACAGAAGATATCAGAACGTCTAAATCACCTCTCAAAAAATTTTAAGTGTTACTCTTTGTCTTACATTTTAAAGAAAATAACTATGACACATTCTTGGATGATAAAGGTTTGGGTTATATATTTCTTACAGAGTTCTGTAAATGAGTTGTCTCTTGAATGTAAAAGCTTCAAAGCAAATACTAATGAATTCAATTTTGATCACATAATCTTTTTCATGATTCTTTTTGCTGGAAGCCAGAAGGCTGGTTTACACAACCTTAAGGCAGCCTTTGCTGGGATACAAATCAGCAGATTTAGAGCAGAGTTCCAACGCTAATGGCTACTTACTATCTGTGGGAGAAGAGCCCACTCTACTTCTCTGATCTTTAGAGACATATGTAAAGGGGCAACACTTCACATGACTGTTGAGGATGTAAATGAAATAGGAAAGTGGGAACTCTGTGGTTGAACAGGAAAAAACAAATCTGGAAGGATAACATGCCAGGTTCTCCAACAAGCTCTCTTTTGGGAATCTGCGCATGTGTGGACATGCGTATTGGGGGTGGGGGTCATTATGTGGTAGTATGGAAGACTCCCATTTTGTATTTTACATACTTCCAAACTAATCAAATGTGTTAAAATGAACATGCCTCATGTATAAATGTCAACGACTAAAAGACATTAAAGAACAAAAATAGCAAGAAGATAAAAGGTGCCCATGGAAGGGGTACTGGGTCCTTGAGTCATATTCTGAAACTCAGTAGCATTCAATGTCTGTGTCCTTCCCCAGAACAGCCGGCACTCTGCCAGGTGCTGACTTGATTCTAAGATAAACTGCAGTGGAGCAATAGGAAAGGTAGGACCTCAGATACTCTGGTGCATCTGAGCTTCAAACTGCTTCGCTGAGCAGTTTGATATCCTTGCTTGAAGAATTAAAAAAGAGAAAAGAAAAAGATAATGTAAGTCACTGTTTATCAAAACCGCAGTCACAATGCTGTCACTCATTAATCATTGACACTTACTGGGAATTAGCTATGATCTGAGAATGGTGCTTAGCATTTTTTTTTAACATTTTTTTGCATGTTTTTTTTTTAATGAATGTCTCCTTCGCTGTTTGCACAACCATTTGAAGATGGCAGTATTATCATCCCCGCCGGCTCATGGGGCAAATGATACTGAAAAGGTTAGGTAACCTGATCTATGGTCACAGGGCTAGCAAGTTGTAGAGCTGGAAAGGAAATTCCAGCAATCTGGAACATTAGATGGGATTAAACAGCAGGAGTTCAAAAGTACTAAAGCAGAGAAATTGGCAAATGGGTCCTTTCTGAACATAGTTGAATTTCTTGTGGGCTTGGCTGATTGACTCACAGAATTTTTAGTGTCGGAAAAGATAGGGCAGGTCTTTGAGCTCAACCTCTTTCTCAGAAAGAGTAAGGAATCTTTCCCACATATCCATGATAGATGACCTTTAATTCTTTGCTTAAATAGCTCCAGTAAAAGGAAATTCAAGATTTATGAGAACAGATCTTTGCCTTGTTGGATAATTCTTGACAACACTTCTTCCTTAAATTAAGCAGAAATTAGTTCCTCTGCAAAATGGCACCAAACACCTTAGTTCTTGTACCTGGAAACCCACATAATTAAGTCTGTTTTGTCTTCCATACATTCATGCTTAAAATATATATAGACAATGCTTGTATCCTCAGTAAATTTGGATGACTTCTCTGGAGGAAAGAGTAGTTTTAGGAGTAGGCAACTTACAGTCCTGGACTCAAATCTCAGATTGGTTCTTCGCTACTCATTAATTTTTGGACAGCTTCCTTAAATTCTGAATCTCAGTCTCTTTATGTATAAGCTGATGAACACAATGCCCATGTCACAAAGCTTTTGGGAAATAAAATGTAAAGTATCAAGCACAGCAGAGCACTGGGCACAGAATAACAACCTAGCGTTACTGGCTTTCTTTCCTCTATCATTGTTTTGTTGACCTTTCTCTGATTTCTGCCTATTTTTTATTTTTAAGAACCTTTTGAAATGTGAAGCTCCCATCTACATCCAGTACTCCAGGTGTACCCTGATGCTAAACAAGGTAGAACCAAATTAGGTAAACACCCTAATTTTTAAAAATTTAAATATCCTCATGATTCCAAAGAATCTTATTTGCCTTGGAAATGGATGGAAAAAAAAAATCAGACCTCTTTTCCCTGGTTTCTAACCAAGTCTCATGTCTCCCATGGTAAACTTATTGATTTTACTTCTAGCCCAAAAAGTAAGATTTCCTTTTCTCCCTATTTGTACTCCATTTTCGAAAACTGTCCCCGCCTGTTGATTTCATTGTGTCTTGGTTCTGTTGTCTGTGCTAATAGCAATCCCTCCCCACTTTGTGGCAGCTGAAAATGTGATAAGTACAATTTCAATCCAAATAACTGATAAAAAATGGCAAACAGGACAGAGCCAGGGAGTTAGCCCCACGTCACTCCGCCACAGACCTCCCACCAAGTTGACAAGAAGTCGTTAATCAGCCTCCTCGGTCTTCTGTGATTGTGTTCAGCAGTCCTGCCATCTCGTTCCCATGTCAGAATTCTGCACACACAACCATCAGGGAAACTTTATCACATGCTTCTCTGACACCAGGAAGCGTCTGTCCCCTGGTCTGCCAGCCTAGTAGGAAAACCATCGATAACCAAATGTAGAGTTATTTTGGTACAAAAACACAAACTGCCTTTGTATCAACACACATTTGTAATGCTTATCAATGTAATAAAAGACACTAGGCTCTTTAAAGATGACTACTTCTCTTTAAAAAGATAAAGTCCCTTCTTTGGTTTCTAGAAGTGACTTAAATAGTCTCCCTTTTAGAACATTTGGTTGTTTCTAATCTAATGGCATCTTTCCTAGCCTCCGACAAAATCTGAAAGTTAGAGAAAATTACGCTAATGGATTTTCACAAGTCTGAAGGACGATGCCTGCTTTTATGCGTATGATCACCATCTTCTTTCCCATCTAGGAAATTTTCCACTTTTCAAAAATGTATTTGATCTTCTCTTTGCTGTTACAAGACAGCTTCCTGGAATTTCATTTCAGACCAACTTATTTTACCTATTTGTAATCACTGATATACATTTTTACATTTGAATTTTTAAACTAGAATCAAAACAGACCCTAGCTTGTGCTGTTATACCCTCCAATGGTAGCGTTTAAGCAGAGTTTGCTATAACCACTGCCTAGACTGTCATGCAGATCTTAAAACACTGTAAGTCTAACAACTGTGTAATTTTTAAATTTTTATACAAATATGAAAAATTCTTGTCTATACTAGTAAAGAATTGCCTTTTATCTATTTGAATGATTCCCTTGATGTTAATTCCCCCGAGACAGAGAATTGGGTCTAAAGAAACGAGTATTTTCATTCCTCTTAATGTATATTACTACTCATGTTTAAAATAATTTAGAAGGCTATCACTCGTGCACAAATATATGTTGTTGAAAACTACACTTGTGTTATAGGTACTGTTCATTTTCCAAGTGCTCTGTTCTAATAGAGACCCTAACCTTTCTTTTTTTTAACATTTTTTATTGATTTATAATCATTTTACAATGTTGTGTCAAATTCCAGTGTTCAGCACAATTTTCATTCATTCATGGACATATACACACTCATTGCTTATTTTTTTTCTAGTGTAGTAT